GGGGGGGGGGGGCATGTGTGGCACTTTTAGCTTCCTATCAGAAAAGCATTTGTGTTCAGATATAGATAAGGCACATGACAGATGTGCACACCTGTGTGGATTAGCGCCACCAATATTATGATAGGAACAAGTAGCAGTGCCAACGGTGACAATTAATAATGTAATGTCTCCAAGCCCAGTTTTAATTATTGGGCAAACATTGTTTCAGCTGGATGGTCTCAGAATCTCAGCAGTCGTTTTAGCACCCAAGTTGAGTCTCTTTGTGCATGAGGAAAGCTTTGTCCTGGACTCAAGAAGTTCACAGACTTCATCCATTGCCCTGGTGCAGGTCTCAAGGTTGGCAGCCAGCTTCTGGATTTTGGCCTTCAGCACAGCCTGGCTCACTTTTGTGACCTCTTTTGTGTATTCTGGCACGAAGAAGCTGTGGGAGCCACAGAAGACCATGAAGCTGACGGAGTTGTACAGTGAGATGGAGGCCCTCTTCTCTGACTGGTGCAGTGTGGGGTCCCCTGGGCCCTGCCCACGGCGGAGGAACTCCAGGCAGCTGAGTATTTCCCTCATCTGTTTCCGACAAGCCACTGCGATTTCCTGAACCTTCCTCACCTCCTGGGAATTGCAGAGCACTGAAGAGAGATCGGAGGTGATACTGATGGCCCCCCCGGCAGTGGCCAGGCCCAGACCCACAGCTGATGCCAGGAGAGAGGCTCCCAGCGTCACCGGGCTCAGGGACAGCCCCACAATGGCTGTGACTGCTCCTGCAGCGGTCAGGGTGCTCCCACTGACGTTGGCAATCAGGGACCTTCTGCGGAGCGTGTTGAGTTTACGAGCCACCTTGTGAAGGTGAGCAATTTGGCCATGCAGCCTCTGTCTCTGATCCAGCAGCACTATGTAGAAGTGGTGTATAGGGTCTAGTGTTTGGGGAAAAGCAGCACCGTTTCTCTCCATGGTGGCCTCTGTCCAGAAACAGAAAAGGCTGGATTGGGATTTACGTTAAAAAAACCCATGAGACATGCTCAGCCTGGACCACCATTTCAGGGATGGCGTCCAGCCAATTTTTTTTTCTTCATCCGACTACATGAAAGGTTTGCTGTCTGCACACACGTACACACTCACGTATACACACACACACGTGCACATACCCACATGTACATTTAATTGCCATATTCCCCTGTAACTTTAAGACAGATAAACTTTTAAAAGTTTTTCTTGTTCCCTGAGAAGACTAAAATATCTTAAGGGCTGGGGTCAGATGTGCTGTTGTTATTACCTCTGTGAAGATACAAAACATCTCTTCCAACCCCGGGCACAGAAATTCCCTTGAGATTAAGTGACTCAGCACTCAAGCATTAATGCTGCCAGAACTAATATGTTGTCCCCATGATGGGATTCAGAGGATCTGCAGTATTGAAGGGCATCTTTCAGAGAAAAGTCAGGTTCTGAGGAGATGAAATCCACCCATCCCAGGTTGCTATTTAGGGGTTATTTCCCATTAAAGGAGGACAGAGGGAAGCAGCTGAGGGGTGTCAAGTTCTGGCTTTTCCCTGTAGGAGGTGAGAAGCTCATTGATGCCTCACACGGGTATTGTGAACATCCTTTCTTTAAGCCGAATCAACTCAAGTTCCTGCAGCATTTTTTTCCTATTATAACCTGGCATCAGGATCTGGACAGAGATGGGAACCATTGTTCTGTGGTACTTAGTCCAACCTGTGGTGGTAGATGCCCAGTGACAGTGGCAAGGAGGCCTATGGACCTTGTTTATAAGAAGGGTGCATCAGAAAAGTGAATTCACTTTCAGTGCTCACTCCCTTGGGGATGGGGGAACAGGAGAAATACAGGGGCTTGTGAACAGAAAAGGCTTGAAAACTGCTGGCTATGGCAACCTCCCCTGTCAAGATAGAAGAGTGTTTTCCCTTCAAGAGGGTAAATCTTCAGAGTTTTGGTGCTAGGCTATCTCTGTTTGCTGTCTCTGTTCTTTGTTACAAGGGTAGAAAGAAATGTTCCAATAAACATTCATAAGTTGCTCTAGGGCTGCAAAGTGCTTCACAGAGAAAGCCTTAACCCTTTTTACATGTAGGGCAACTGAGGCAAAGGAGGCAACAGGAGTGATGTAGTATTGCCTGTTGTCTGGTGGGAGCAGAGCTTTTGTGCTCCACAACACCGCACTGTGCACAAGACTGTGCTGCCTCTGCACCTAGCAAAGTCTAGCCATGGAGTTAAGAAGCTGCAGTCCATAATGCCCTCATAGACAAAATAAATCTCTGTAGCAAAAAGACCCCCTCCCAGAGCCAACGAAGCAAAACTTTTCATTGCTGAAGCCACCTTTTCACTGCTAAATCTGTACAGTGTGAACTGAACACACTATATAGTTAGGATCCTTTGGGCTTTCATTCTGCAGAATCCCTATGGTTCAGAAGGAGGAAACTTTCTACCATAAAGAGTCTTTCCATCCTGAAGTGTGTAAGTGAATAATTCTCTTTGCAATTTTTTCCCTTCTACTTGACCTAACCCATCTCACACAGAAACCTTTAGGACCTCTCCCTTCAGAATGCCCTTTAGAATGACGACTCCAGTCTCTCTTAGTATCATGGAGCCATTTGAGCCACTTAGAACACTGTGCTTTTCTTAGCTGGAGGCAGCATCCTCTTATTTTTTACACTACAGTCAGAGATGAAGCTGAAAGCCTAAGGACTAACACTAAGCTAAATGGAAGTCAGCGTTAAAATGAACAATGAGCATATCATCAATAACAATAGATCAATATGATGATCATTAATATATCAATTCCCTTAGTCTCTTAACAATTTGTTCTGCAGATATTCTTGCTGAGAACAGTCTCGGGTAGTAACAGTAGCCATCTCACTGCAGTTAGTAGAACAGTCATTCAATATATAACATAAGCCGTATAGTGGTGCATGTCTTTTGAATACACTGATTTATGTCAGCAGAAAGGAAAACAAAACCAACTCCTGCTCTTAGAGAAAAATTTCCCCAATAATAAATGCATCCAAAACCTGCAAACACTTTCCTAATACAGTACTCAAGAGACTAGGAAAAATACTGGTTCAAACTTACCTTTAGCTTCCAGCCGACCTCCCCAAAGACAAATTTTGATCTGTTTCTGGAGGAGACCAATTTATAGCTCCTGTGGACCAATTGCTGTGATGGGAATGCTTTGCCTCATACTGGGAGTTTGCCATTTCCTGCTCTCCCTTGTGCAGAAGGATGTGACACACTGGAAAGTGACCTGCAGGACAGCGAGCACACATCATGTTCAGGAAACGATCCCTGCAAATGAACATTGTGTGTTTGCTTTTCCTGAAGTGTAGGGGGGAAAAAAAAATTTAAAATCTCAGCCTATTCCTGGCGCTGAGCTAGTTCAGTTATTCTCCCCAAGGAACAGTTGCCTTTCCTTTCCCTGAAATAGTAACTGACTTTACTCTGTGCTGGAGCCACCAATTGCTTGATGACTGAAGTTTCCCCCAACCGCACGTTTAGAGACAGTGGCTCATCAGTCAGCCAACTACTTCATTCAAGGCCAGTGTACTTTTCAAATCTCATCTCTTTGGGACAACCATGTGTGTGAGACTGGCTGGAGCACAGCTGTGTGAGACCTCCAGCAGAGCTCCACTCCATAAAAGGGAAGCAACTCCACAGCAAGATGATTGCTCTGAATTCCCATTCCTCTCCTTCTGAGTAGATAAAACCATGCAGCATCTTGCAAAAGGAGTGATATCCCTGTGTTTTTGCTCTGTTTCTTAACTATGGGCACCATGATGGTTGAGAAACAAACATATTGTTTTCCTAAGGTGCCTGCCCAGAAATCAATGAACAGAAAGAAAGGGTCATTGAGATCTGATCTTTTGCTGTCTGCTGTTGCCTGGCAGTTGTGTCCACATACAGATGTGGCCAGCGGGAGGAAGTTATGAATGTGTTGGGGAGGAACAGCCTACTCCTGGTGCTGCCTTTTACACTGAGCTAGGGCCAGCTTTAATCAAAGACAGATTCTTTGGATGAGTTCAGGAAAAAAGAGATTTTTTGAAGGCTCTAAGTGGTGCAGCCCACCTTAGACCAACACGGCATGTGTCCCTATTGACACAGGGCCTGTGGTGCCAGGGACATCTGTTTTGAATAGTTGGGCTTGAAGATGGGGCATCTACTTTCTTGCTTGGTGGCTTCTTACTCTTCAGGGCTGTTTGTTGACAGTGAACCTCTGATTGTGCCCTAGTGTCCCCCTGGCCCAGCTAATCTGAAAGCTACCTAGCTGTCACTGAGTGGTGAGATTCATAGCTGCACAATTGCTGGAGCTGACTTTAGGAAGGGATAAGATCTGAGAGGAAGCAGGCAGGGAGAGGAGAAGGCTGGGATTATTAATTTAAACAGCAGCTTAGTTTTAAATCATCTTAAAATGACTGTGAAAACAGTATGTCAAGTGTTTTGTTGGATGTGAACCTGCATGAGATGGGGCATGAACAAATAAATAGCATTGAAGAGCTACTTCAACCTGTCACAGACCTGAAAAGAGGAAAACATTGTTTTGAAGATGCTTAAATAATCAATTTTGGCTGTTACACTTTGTACACATTGCACATTAACAGGAAGGTGAGTTTTGACACTGAAGGAAATTGTGCTTTAGCCCTTCCCTTTGTTTTAGCAAACATATGATTGAACTGGAGCCCATCTGCCTTGGAGAAGGTTTGCAGTTCATAGACACAAAAGTTCTTTTGTACATTCCCAAATAGAATAGGCTTTTATAGTGTAACTGCATCTGCACTAGGACTTGTGCCAGCAGAGATGTCCTTGTTCAGACAGTGAGTTTTGTTAAAAATTAAAAAATTAAGAAAAGAAAGAAAACAATGATCTAGAATGAGCCTGAGAAGAAGACACAGTTTTGGTTGCTCTTCTTCCTTTCCCAGTGCTCTTCTTTCAATGTACTCAGCTGCAAAATGTTGGCAAAAACCCCTGCAATGTTCAGTACATGGACAAGGACATGATTAGAGTGCAGAAGAGACATTTTTTTAATAGTATTCCCTCACAGAGATTTCTGCACACTGAAAGACTTGCACTTCACACAAGACAAGATATTGGTCTCAGCCTAGGATGGTTTCTTACAGGGGTCATCCCTGGACTCCTTCACTGTCTAAAGAGAATGTTTCCCCATAATCCACTCCAATAATGAGATTCATACTGAGAAAGTAAGGACTTCCCAAAAGGAGCTACAGATGTTAACTTGATTTTAAAAGAGGAATGTGTATTAGAATAAGAAACATTATTTCCTAGAGAGTTGCCCTACAAGAGTATGCTGTGATCTGTTTTTGTCCCTGCTGACACTCTCACAAGTATCCCTTTGGATGTGCTGGTCTTCTCTCCCACTGATAATTACAGAAACTCCCTCCAGCAAAGGTGGGCAGTTAGGAATGGGAGCACGATGGAAGACGAGTATCTTCTCTGACCATCTTCTAGGGATTGAAAGGTTTTCAATGCCATTAACGCATCTGCACAGATGTGAGCACATCTGCTGAGTCACCAGGTAGTTCCAGAGGCCTGCCTGGAGTGAATCTTAGCTACCAGGGATCTCAAGACTTGTGGGGTAGGTGTGACCTTCACTGGGTAGTCCTGCAAGCTAGCAAAGGCCTCCCCATCCTGCCTGCTGTAGATTTTCACCCAAACCCTCTGCCACTGCAGTCTCTTCATTCTTGGCCTGTGAAGTACTTGGGTTTGAGGGTAGAAGGGGCACAACAGGTGTTTCACAATTACCCTGGCCAAAAATGGTCCCTCTGTTCCACCCTTTCCCATCTAGCCACATCCTATTGAAATGGGCACAAGCCAGACCCATGCAAAATCTGCCCTGAAGGCATTTTGTGGAAGCAGATGACCAGCAAAGGGAAGGAAGGATGCTTTATTGCCTCAGCTCTCTTCCTTCCAGTGGATTTTGGCAGAAAGGACTGGTCTTTCTGCTCTTGTTCTCTTCAGCAGAAGGGATATATAGCAGATGTGTTTATTCTGAAGCTGTTTGGAGCTACTTCAGTGTAACATTTGAATGTAAATGTGTAACATTTGAAGCTGGAGTTTCAAAGATATATTTCCTTTATTAACTTTTTAAAATCAAATAATGGAATAAATTTGTGTAAATTTACATTCTGGTATCATTTTTTTAACAGAGATTTCTGTCATGCTTGGTACTTTTAACCTTTTTTTTTTTTTTTTTTTTTTTTTTTTTTTTTCCTGCAGTCAATTGAATAGATGACAAACTTTAACTCTTCACAGCAAGACATTTGTTCAGATTCAGTGGGAACTTGAATAGGCCAAAACTAAAACAAATAAAGCAAATTAGATTAAAAAGGGCTGCATCAGCTTTTAGTAACCTTATCAGTAGATCAAAATTAATTTTTTGAAAGCATTCCAGACTAAGACAGGCTGCTTTGGGTTCTGGGCTCTGGACTCTGGTCACTGGTGTGTGTGTGACTTCAGCTGGGCTTGGAGAAAGTTACAAAGAGCAGGGCAGGGTAGGGGGAACCAGACAGACTGTGGGATGAAAACACCTCTTGCTAGTTCTAATTAAGTAGGATATTAGCTGTGTGCGTTGACTGTGCCTTGGTCCTGCCTTGTGAGCAGGCATTCATGTGACAAAAATACCATACTAAATTGCCTTGTCAAAACACTCCCAGCAGTGTCTGCAGAGATCAAGTATTTATTTGGACACAGAGAATGAATTTCTGCAATGGACTTCAACAAACCAGTTGTCATTTCCCACCACCGTTAATTATATGTTTCAGTGCAGGCTATATGGCACAAGGCTCACGCTCTGATGCACAAAAACGCAACTCCCCACTTAGCCATGTGTCTCCAGCCTTGCCTGTGGCACAGCTGACGTGACTGAGTGCAGCTGTATGCAGGTTCTGCTGAGACCAGTGCTGCTGGAGGACTTTTCTCTCTTCAGTGTCTCAGCAGTGGCAGCAGCAGCACCACCACCACAATAAACAAGTCTGGCTGCCTGTACCTACAAGCACTGTAGAGACTAGAGAATCATTCCCATGTCTCCAGAACTGCAAAGAAACCTATTAACTTGGTGAATAATAGAAATTAGGTAGCCTGGTTTTTTGTGGCTCTTTTCCTGTGGACTTCTTGATGGCCAAGCTCATGTTGCAACATGTCTCTTGAAGGAAACAAGAGTCTGGATTCTTCTCACCTACAAAACTACTTATTTTCATGAAACTCGTGAGAAGTCTTTGGAACCTTGACTGCTTTGTCAAATTCTGGCTGAGACTGCCCAGGAAGCTCAAAAGCTACCGGTTGACAAAACTGACAACAGCCCCTCTCTGTAACCCTCATTTCTGTAGGGAGCCAGGCTAGAGCAAATCCCTGTGTCCTTCAACTGAATCACAAGGCACAGATGTCCATGGCTTCTTGTTCCCATTTGCCAGTCCTAATCTTGAAGCATTTAGTCAATCTTTGGTTTTATGTACTGTTCTGTGGTCTTTCCCCTGCCAGGGTAATGTCCATGTCCTCCAGTGCAGGAGGAGAAGCTGCTGGTGCAGGAGCCTTCAGTAGTGGTTTTGGTGTGTCTGGGAGGTTCTCCAAAGGACCACACTTTGAACGGGAAGGAAAAGCATCTTTTCCTGGAAAGACTCAGATGTAAATCCCCCAGACCAGTCTTGGGAGCCTTGGGATAACAGATTACTGGGTAGATGTAGCATTTATTAGCTAGGAAATGAGAGTGTCTGTGTTTCCATCATGCAGCACAGGAAGAGTTTTCGCCTGGCTCCCCTATTTGCTACCTACCAGTAGCAGATTGCTGTCTGGGTTAATGATCTCTAACAGACATACTCTCACTATCTCTTGCTCCTCAATTTTTGCTCTCAATTGTTCTGATATGGCCATTGATGAAGTAACAAGTCTCAGTTTTGATGGTACCTAGAAAAACTCTAAACTCAGAGGCTTGAGAGCACCAAGCAACAATTCACTTAATGGTCATGGTGGAGGGAAGGGCTAGGAAAACATACCTTTATCAGGACGTTTGGATTTGGTACTGTCCTGTATTTGCACAATGGAAAATTTCTGATCCTGTCTCTGTACTTGGAACTGGCCAAGGCCAGAAGGTTTCAGT